AGGGCGTCTGAAGGGCAGTCGCCGTGGCGTACGGCTAACTTCAGTTGCGATTTGATTATAAGTTCGCCCTCGGACGGGATCACGAACTGGCGTGATTAGCGCGGGTTATAATGATTTTCGGACTGTCCGAGACAATAAGTAACTAAGCGCGAACTCCACTGACGTGGACTGAATGGTTTAAAATTCTGTACTGACGTGAACCGGGTGCTTCAAGATTTCATACTGACGCTCTGTGCTTCCGCGGGACCTCTATTTATACCCTGAAAAAAGAGTGTTGAGCCCTTTGTCTAAGATGTTAAGTTAGTTGCAATGTCACTCGGGATTTACGATTTTTATGACGTTCTATCGTTGTTGATCTAAAGTACATAGAGTAGTTTCGAGAAGAAGAGAAAGTGATTTATGATTTTCCTTAAAGAGCCAAGATTGCTCCGAGAAGGATGACGAATTCTGTTATTCTCACGGTAAATATGGCTAGATAAGCAGATGATTACCATGCTACCATTGTCAGTTGCGAGTCTGGTTTCAGATAACGCTCCTGTTGGAAGTTATTCTATGCGTTTACGTTTTTTTAAGTGGCGCCTGTTTTCTAAAATAAAATTGTTAGTTAGTCTCGGATGATAAAGCTTAGATTTTTACTATTGCATGACTTCGATACATTTATAATGTCTTTGCAATCTTGTCTCTTTTCGGGCCTACATTAAGGTTATTATTCTTTTCAGGTTGATTGAGTTTTCGCGGCACCTGTTTTTCCGGTTCCTTTTTTAATTCTGTCAATCCGTTATCAGAAGGCGCCGCTCGGGTCTCGTAGACGCCAACCATAATCGCGGCGAAGAAAAAAAATCGTGACGTCTGTAAGACATAACACTTTGTCTTCGAATTTTTTTGGCTGTCCAGTGTGAGGCTTGTCTTCAACGCTGAAATCTCCATCCTTGAAATGTCGAAACCATTCCCTACATGATTTATTATTTTCAGTTGGAGCAGTGTCACCATAAACTATTCGACAAGCATTCAATGGACTTCAGCGGTACTTTTCTTCTAATTAAAGCAGAAAATTAGAACCTCCCGCAAATGCTGCTTGGTTAATACAAAATTCGACATTTCAAACACAGTAAAAATCAAGGTTTTTGTATGAAACTCAAAGCGATATAAATTGAATATTATTAGCAGAATATCTAACCTCTCTGAAAACGCCAAAATCAGCTGTCACTATGAACCATTCACAACAGCCAGAGCCATCTTTTGGAAAACGAACCGAACTAATTTGTACTTCCAATACTTAAAAAAAGCAATATATCAATAGTAAAACTTGATATTTAATCAGTCATGATACTAGTATCAATCATTCTTCTTTTTCTTTCTTCTTTTCATTTCCAAAAGAATATCTTTTAATAAATCATTTCGTTCTTTAAGTATACTGTTACTTTCTTTTTGTAATTTATTACTATTATCCATCGCCTCTTTTAGTCTTTTTATTTCTTCTATTTTACTGTTTTCTGCATCAAGTTGTTTCTTTTGCATTAACGATAGCGTCTTCATCTTCTTTTATTTTCTTTATCGGAACTTGGCGATCGTGACTCCAATAACTGCAGATGACATTTTATTTTGTGTTGGATTTATTATCTGAAACATGAAAACCGCTTCTATTTATTTCATTGCTAGTTTTGAAACATAGACCCGTATTCAGAAGCGCTTATAATGATGTTAGCGCTCTAATATGCCATAGTTTACGTTATATAGGTTACGCATACTATAGAATTTCAGAGGCGCGCTTTTATCAATAAAAACGTTCTGAATACGGACTATAGTGATTATAATAAAGGGTTATCTGATCATTAGTTTCAAAAAACTTGATTTGTTCATTTGATATGAATGACATTGACTTTTCATCTATTGACGTGAACGGCATTGAATTTGCATCTGTTGACGTGGATGACATTGAATTTGCATCTGTTGATATGAATGGCACTGAATTTGTAATTCTTGATGTGGATGGCACTGAATTTGTAATTTTTGACGTGGATGGCACTGAATTTGTAACTCTTGACGTGGATGGAATTGATTTTGCATTTATTGATGGCATTGAAGATAATGTTGGTCCATGATTTATAGTCATTTCTAAATATTAGGTGTAGTAAAAAGAAATCCATTATTTTTCCAATAGATGGCTTTAGTAATCTGTATCTCGCGAACGCGAATTTCATTGCTTGCTTTGTCCATGTAAATATTGAAACTAGAAATAAAAATAAATAAAATATTTTAAAATCTCTTAACAGACCTCTTAACTAATATTATATAAATAAAATTAATAAATAAAGGGATTAAATAAATATATGTAATATATTTAAAAAGCTGATTAAAAAACTGATTATAAAAATATATTTTTTATAATCAGTTGTAAATATTATACCTTTTTCTGAAACGCATATTGCTTCTTGTGAGGGCATATTTTCAATAAAATATGTCGTAAAAAAGTTTGGATCTGTAAACAATAAAACATTATAATAAAATAATTTGGATTTATGAAAAAAACATTGCATGATAAATATGCCGAATAAGAGAGCATTCTGCGATGATTTTGATCTTAACATATCTTGTCAAGGTCATGATCCTGACTTCCATCAAGTTTTAGCCATCGCTCATTATTCGTTAATGCTCCCCTATTCGGTATATTTACCCATTGTATAATTTACAAATTTATATTTTACAAGCAAAAGATAGAAAATTTTATATACCGTTCTGTAAACTGTTGTGCACATCTCTTGTTGCAAAGACTTTATATATGATATTATTATAAATATATTCCTTTTCCAATTCGTCCATGTTTTGTCGATGTGTCAAAAACACATCGGCAGATTCCTTCTGGTCTTTTAAATAGAAAAAACGTCTATTTAGGTTATGTCATATTGTTTATAAACCGACAACACGTTGAGCTCAGATAGCGGTCTTAAAATATGATGGAAAAAATGGCGTCCGCTCAGTAAACACGTTGCGTATCGGGCACTAACAATAGCGCGTTCAGCAGCTTTTCAATGCCGTGCAACGGTTCAGTTACGCTTGCTAAACTATTGTCATATCCTCTTTCAGGTTTCTCTCTGATACCGCTTATCACGCTACATGTAATCGCACCCTTATGGCTCCAGCACACCAATGATGTTAGTCGCGTACGACAAGCGATATCTAATGACAGTATATCTTTAGAATATCGGTAAAGCTGTACACTCATTGGATATTTGGATATATTGGCGTGTTTCGCGCGATGAACATCGCACTGTGGTGTGCCTGAGGCATTAGGTTGCGATTAGGAAGCGCGGTACACAGTACGCGGTATAGTAACTAATAGGCAACTAGGAAACCGCGTACACCGCCTATTTCTTTCGCTGATATTACATGGAACGCGGTTTGCGGCACGGGTTAGTGACAAACTCACATTACTATACACTGCTATGCACTTTTTAATGGAATTAAGGGTCGACAGACCCGTGGAGACCTCTAGTCGAAGATGAATTTTTTTATACTGAAATTACGGCTAAAAATACTGGATGGATCGCATTTTAATTGCGATATTCATAATCAGAAAAGGCTTCTGAAGACTCGTATAGAGATTTTTTTGTAAGAAGAGAAAAATAAAAATTTATTCTGATATCTCACTCGATGTATACTACAGTGCAGTTGATATGATCTTATTAATAAAAATTTTCAAGAATCAATTTGCAAAATCTGGCTCTGTACGAACCTTCCCAGCAATATAACAAAGAAATCCCAACAGGTTTCATAAGGAAATATTATTTCTTCGAGAAGAAAAATTAGCATAACTGACCTAGATCTGCACTTATAAAATGCATACTTTTATGCCGAAATTATGATTAAAATATAACATGAATCACATTTTAATATGTGATTAATATTCGTAATCAGAAAAAGCTCCTGAAGACTCGTACAGAGCTATTTTTTTGTAAAAAAGGCATAATAAAAACATGTTCTGACATCTCACCCGATATGTACTATAGTGCAATTATAGTGTACACAATTTTATTTTAAAAAATTTTCAAAAATCAATTTGCAAAATCGGCTCTGTACGAGCCTTCCTAGTAATATAAAAAAAAATCCTAACAGGTTTCATAAAGAAATAATATTTCTTCGAGAAGAAAAATGAGCATAACCTACGTCACCAAAACTGCACGTTCTGCTGCAACTGATTGCTAATCATAGGGAAATTCTTCACATTGAGTTGAACAAAGAAAGGTAGGTTTCCTTGTCTTTCTTGATGGCTATGACAATTCTCGCCTTCGGCGAGAGTGGCTGAGAACGACCCAGCAAATGAGAATGGATTAAAATAGATTGAAATTTTTTTCTATCCGAATGCGTATTTTAAATACTTTTTTTTTTGTTTAATTGGATTTAATTAGATTCAATTGGATGCAATTGGATTGAAAAACTGCATTTCCTATTGAAAATTTTGAATTGAACAGTATTCAATTGTGTGTTTTTGCACAAAAAAAGTTAATATTATTTTTAGATTAGAAAGACATAGAGATATGCTCCATGCAATTCTTATAAATGAATAAAAATGCATTCAAGATTGAAAAGCATTTATTTTAACATTCGTGAATCAATATTTCTGAAAATCTGGATCTATTTCAATTCATTTTAATCCATTTTTGTTTGCTGGGGAACTAGACAGCATGAAACAACCTGTTGAAAAAAACCCTCTTTCGATCTGTCGCGTTTAATAGAAACGACTGAAGATCGAAAATACTTTTTCAGCGATCTCGGCCGCTCGGTATATATCAGTATAATTCGAGATAACATATAATTTATTATAACATATGAGTTTTAATAAATTGTAGTAATCATATACCTTTCCCATTAATGTATAATAGCAAAAATGATTTCAAAACGCAATAATTTATGAGATATTAATTATTTACGATTTTTTATGGGAGTTATGTACTGCGTTTATAAATGCAGTCATAGTAAATGATGCGCATGCGCAGTTTCGTTTTCTACCAGATAACGTGACTTTAGCGTTCACCGTATCTAGATGAACGGTATTGCAAAAACTCCCTAATAACTTTACGTCGACGTGATTTTGAATGTTTTTCATAGTTTTATCTAGGGTATATATATATATATATAAGAGATTGGGTATTTGTAGCGCCTATGATCGGTTCTGCTTAAGCAGTCTAACATGGCTTTTCGCGCCTTTTATGTAATAAAAGGCTATATATTGTGCAAAAGTTTTATATCTTATCTTAGAATTAACGTTCAACTATTAAGAGGACGCTGGAGTCGTCTATATTATCGATAAAACTAGCATTAATTTTTTATTGTTTTAATAATACCCAAGTTGCGAGATATTCGAGAGCGAGACAAAGCGAGAGCGAGAGAGAGATAGAGAGAGAGAGAGAGAGAGAGAGTTTGAGCGAGAAGGCAGTTTTGAGCGAAAGTTCGATCTACGCGAATCTTCACGTAACCGATCACAAGTCGAACGCGGCGGTTTTCTTGTGGCGGAGCGTCTCAAAAGCGATTGCACTGAATTGCGGAGCGTTAACTGTGACTGAAAAATCGAAGAAGAAGAAAGATCACTGCTCGATTCGATTTTATTTATTTGGTAGAACAAAGGCTTCTTTCTTCAATCGCCTATGAGAGTCTTGAAAAATTATAAAATTTGTGATGACCCCATGATTCGGCCAGCGATTGGCAATTTTCGATTACGATGGCCAAGCGATACGCTATTGCCATGCGCGTCCGCCAAATCAGTAGTTCTGATTAGGATGTTAATGAGTTTACGCGTTTTGCGTCACGCGAGCGCGCGTATGCTGTGATCGATCCGAATTTTGATTGCCGTTTTAATAGTTGGTTTTTTGTGTATGTATGACATGTGGCTTTGATCATATTTTTTGACTTTACCAACGAGAGGTGATTGTCAAGTTTATTTTTGGAAAGTTCTAGAAATCTTTGAAATTGTTCTAGAAATTTCCAATCCATATGTCGCACATACACCGATTCCGTGAAAACGGTTTTTCGGATACATCTTAAACACAAGGTGATGTCTGAACAATGCCTTTTTTAGTCAAGATTTCATTTAACATCATGTTACTACTTAAGTATATATTTATTATATATAAAATGCTATTAATATATAAAATATTTATTAATGTACAAAAAAATGTAGCAGATGAGATGGAGTAAGATGAGAATTGAACACGCAAGTAGATTAATTCACACACGAACAATTTTTCATTCCACTTCACAACTATGAATACAAATACAATATAACACAGACAGTTGTAATAAAATTACTGTTTATCAGATTACTTAAGTTTTTTTGTCATCAACTTAAAAAATTTTACACTTTAATGCGTAACTCTGAATTTCACGTTTCAGATTTTGCGAATTTAAACGGTAAGAATTCGAGTCCGAGCGTGAGCGAACACGGAAGAAAAGCATCGATTATTGAACGTTCTCACACTGATAACTTTTTCGAAAAAAAAGCACAAAGAGGCTGTCTCCTCTCTTTTTATACTCGTGTGCTTCTGAAAAATTGTTCTCGAAAATGCTAGATTTAATTTGAAAGAAATGACGCCACAAAAGGAACAATCCATCGAGATTTTATTTTAACAATTTAATTTTCATAATCGATTATAGTGTGAGTTGGGCGTGCTCAATTGGCCGTCTTCCTAAGGCGCCTCTTGCGATTGGCAACTTTCGTGGGGAATGTGACGCATAAAGCTGCCGTTGGATGCGACGCCTCGCGATAATTTACATCACGCGTGACGTTATCGCGCGCGAAGCGCCACACAACTTCGATCTTGATACAAATTATTGTCGCGATAGAAAAATAAGCTGCGCTTCGCTCCAAACGTTCCGCCCGCCTCGTAGGTGAAACCGATGATCAACGTTATGGTGGTAGATAAAGAAGGCACATGTCGTATGTCACTCATTTACGCGTCCAGAGTGGCGCGACGATCCAATTGTTTATCTCTCGTGATTATGGAGCAGTGATTCACGCGATGAAAGTAATTGTGGGATGTTATGATCTATGTGAGTGAAAATTACGGGAAATGCGACTTTGAACGACAAGTTATTTGTGAATTTTACATCGCATGAATGAATAAAGCAAGAATCGAATATTACAAAGATCTAATTAGGAAGAAGCAATTACATCGCACGCACGTTTTATAAGGAAAGTATTGATATAATTTTTTTCTGTCTCGAGCTTCCTCGAAATCGATGTGTATTGGAATGAGCAATCGCGAATAGTATCACATTAGAGCTACAGAAATCGCTATTCTATTATAATATAATAATATAATGCATGCCTCTTTGTCAAGACATGATGTTATACTACTATAATGATCATATTGAAGTATTTGTGATTATGAGTTCAGTATTAGCACATTTTAATAAAGATGTAAAGAGTAAAATGGATTTATAAATATAAGTTTGCTAAAGAGAAGATTTTGTGCTGAAAAGTGATTTAAAGTGGTACTTATATCAGAGCGCGTCGAGGAAGCTCGCGAGAGATATATGTTAAATTAAACATGACAAGAGATGTGATGTCTAATATGATGCAAAGAGTTCATGAAGGGTATGAACTCTTCTAAGACGAGGTTAACTCATCCTGTGTTGGTAGTGGCTCGTTGTCTGAAAACAGGACAATCTTCACCAATGATCTCGTAAACTTGGAGGAGGCCGTCTTCACAGTGATGATGCGCACATGTCTGTCCTGATCAGGATGAAGAGCCGTAATGCGTGCAAGTGGCCACTTGATAGCCGGTGTGACATCGTTTCGTAGGAGACACAGCTGCCCAACTCGAGGCACTGAAATACCCTGTCGCCACTAGATATGTCGATAGATCAGGAACGTACTTTTTGGCTCAACGCTCCTAGAAGTGACTTCTTATTTGTTAGATACATATGTTGTCAACGTGCTCCACACCGTACTGATTCGTTCATCCGTGATGATTCAGGAACTGTCAGAAGAGACGATCCAATGAGGAAATGCTCTGGTGTTAGTGCTGCTAGGTCATCGGGATCGTCGCTCATTGGTCGCAGTGGCCGAGAGTTGAGGCATGCTTCCTGAGTGAGGAATG